CGGGAGCCCAAAGCAAGCAAAGCTCCAGTTACTGGTGTATCGATCAGAGACGTGCCGGCCATGCAGCTCGTGAACACACACACACACACACACACACACTCACACACCTGCTTCAGGTGCTGCGTCAAGAGCAGCCTCAACTAGTCCTGAGGAAAGAGAGAGTGAAAACAACACGTTCATCATGCAAATACAGGAGGAAAGAGGGCAGAAACATGAAGATGTGACAGCATCGGTTAGAAGCGTCTTCTGCGGGGGTTTGGCACTTCATGCACCTGTACACTCTCGGCCTGAGCGCACCTGTAAACACACACCTGAGCGCACCTGTAAACACACACCTGTGCGCACCTGTAAACACACACCTGTGCGCACCTGTAAACACACATCTGAAGGCCTGAGCACACCTGTGCGCACAAAACCACGGAGATCTGGAGACATTCGACACAAGAGCGAAAGAAAAGCGTGTTTTAAAACATTTGGGGGGGAATGTGCTTGATTGCAGGGTTGTTATATTTAGCTAAAACTAAAACTATTTAAAATTGTGGTAACACTATAAATTATGCATAATTACATGCAAATAACCCTCAACCAAACCCTAATCCTAATTATATAGTAAGTACATGCAGTTAATATTACTCAGTACTTAAATTCATAATTACAGTGTAACAATGACATCTAATAAAGTGTATCCAACGTTTTTTGTCAATTAAAATGAAGCTAAAATAAAGTCATATAAATATTAGATGAAAAACTTAAAAAGTTTCAAGTTAAACTACATACAAAATCTGAATATTTATTAATTTTATACATTTTTCATAAAGAGTTATTTTATAACTGAACCTAAAACTTAAAACACCATTTTCGTTACTTGAAATTAAATAAAGATTATAATAAATAAATGAAAATTATTTTATTTCAGCTAGTTGCCAATGAAACATCTTCTATTTTTATTGGGTTTAGTTTAACTTGATGTACTAAAATAACTAAAACTGATCTTAAAATTAATAAAAACTATATAGACATTCAAAAAAGCTTATACAAAAGCTTTGACAAAAACACAACAAAACTACTAAAACTTTAACCGAAGTTAAAATCAAAACAGAAAATATATGCATAAAATCTAATATACTGTACACTATAAAAGCATCTCAATGATACTTAAAACTGCCTGGCAACAAACTGAAATAAACAAGTTTAAGTTGAATATTACTAAAACTGAAATAAAAATAAATTAAAGCGAATTAGAAATATTTAAAAAAAAATGACATACATACAGTACAATTTTAACTAAAATTAAAATGAAGACATATCAAAACAAAAGCTATTTAAAAATATTAATAACTACTATAATTGTCAATAAATATTATAAAAATAATACTAAAATCTTTAATTGTCATATTTAAAGAATATAATAATATGAATATATATGAATATAATAATGAATGAATATAATAATAAAATATAAAATAAAAAAACAGGTTTAATTTTCTTTATGCAAAATATATATTTTTATTTGTTCTTTTGGTTTTGTGAGATGTTCGGATCGCCGCTAGCAGTGCGTAATTTAGCATCTTGTCGTGGTGAAGACTCATGTTCGGTGTGAACAGGCCTTGAGAATGAATACTGATACAACCTATAAAGAAATAAATCAAGAGTTAATCATACTCTGATGTTACCCATCAACCCCTTCAGCTTCAGTGTTCATCACACTAGTGTTGTCAAAACTAACGACTTCGGTACCAAGTCGATACTGAAATTTAAAAAATGTTGAGCGCTGTCGAGCGGAATCGTAAACACCTCTGATTGGCCGTTGTTTTCACAAGCTCATCAAACATGTCTGTGATTGGCTACAATGATCACTCTTCAAAAACATGTTGTAAATATACATACAAAAGTGTGATGTATGTAACTTCAGTGAGTGTGTGTTGCGCGTGACATATGTAACGTCAGCGAGTGTGTGTTGAGCGTGACGTACGCAGCTCTGGGGCCCCGGCCCCGTCTCTCAGCGCCTCCTGCTGGCGGGACAGGAGCTGGCGCTGGTCCTGGATCTGCTGGCGCTCCTCCTCCAGTTCCCTCAGTCTGAGGCTCGTCACACACAGCTCCTGCTCCAGCTGAAGCTGCAGATCGACCCGCTCGCGCACCTGCTGCTCCAGCCCCTCACGCTCGCCGCTGTAGCTGTCAATCACCCCTGACACACACACAACAGTCGGTCAGCTACTGTCAAGATTACACAGTTACAGTATTTACAGTTTGGGACACACTCACACACACTCTCTCTCTCTCTCAGACACATACACACACTCTCTCATACACTCACACACACTCTCTCTCTCTCACACACACATACACACACACTCTCTCATACACTCACACACGCTCTCATACACTCACACACACTCTCACACACATACCAGCCGGTTAACAACAATTATGATACGGTTACAGCATTTACAGTTTGGGGCACACTCTCATACACTCTCTCTCACACACACACACACACACACACACACTCACGTCAGGCTCTATTTGGTTAACAGGGTCTGAACTCGACAACAAAGCATTTCTGCCCTGAATCTGTTCCAGATCACTGATTCTCACTCAATCTCACTGCAGGAAAATATGAATCAACATTCTTTCAATTCAACCATCAACATCTTTTAAGAGTGTTAAACAACATTTATGAGGAAAACTTGGACAAGACTTGGAACTTCTGAAATGCATTTGGGACAAACTTATTTCCGGCTAGTTTCCTTTTACAGTCACTAGTGAAGCTCATGGTGAAGAAGAGCTTTAGTTTCGCAGTGTTTAATAACACACACACACACACACACACACACACACACAGAGGGTTCGGCACTCATTCAGACACAGGAATGCACTAATAACTCATAAATATTTAACAACACAGATCTGACACTCTTTAAGGTCATTTGCAAATGAAATGAGGTCGCGGTGAGCGATCACACTAACAAAAGAGCTTCACACAGACACACACACACACACACACACACACACACACACGTAAGAAAAGTATTTAGACTGAATACAGAATCAGCAGCCGGTTCAGACATACAGGCTGAACAATACACATACACACACACACACACACACACACACACACACACACACCCACTAAAGTAAAAAATGATGAAACCACAGACGCTCCTGCAGGGCAGTTTGATCTCGCTTCAAACAAACATCGGCTCATTCGTGCAAGAGAGGTTTATTAAAAATTGAGGTCACGACAATTTAAAGCATTAAAACTATTAAAGAGTAATTTCAGTAGAACACGCAGCACACACACCACCAACACCAGGGCCAACGATCCGACACACACACACACACACTGACACTCACACACACAGACTCACTCACACACTCACACACACACACACACGTGACCATGTGACCTGCGATCGCACTGTCTTGTGAGATGACTGGTCAACATTGAGTCGTAAATAGCAGACACTCTACAGCTCCTTCAAATGTTTACGACGTGCCAGTTTCCACCAAACACAAAGGAGAGTAAAACAAAAGAGCGTAACCCTGACAACGCCCTGATAATGATGGTCTGTTTGAGACGTCTCTGAACGTCCAGCTGTTGGTGTGTGTGTGTGTGTGTGTGTGTGTGTGTGTGTGTGTGTGTGTGTTTGCTGACGTACCAGCCAGTGCTGTCACCGACAAACAGATACACACACACACACACACACACACAGGCGCGCAGACACACTGACACTCACACAAACACACACACTGACACTCACACACACAGACTCACTCACACACACACACACAGATCAATCAACCAACTGTCCTGATCTTCTTCGGAAGAGAGGACACTGGCCCTTGTTTTACACCTGTGTTCCTGAACAGGGTTTTATGAGAGTAGTGAAGAACAGCTTCACACGGACTTTAATAATACACACACTGTGTACATACAAACACAACACACCTCTTTCACACACTCACCTTCTGCCAACACACAAGGATCCTCTTCACATCCTCAAATACACACTTACACACACACACACACACACACACCTTCAGCCCTGTGCAGCTCCAGTGCCAGTTGTTCTCTCGCTCGGTTCTCCTCACACACACACACACACACACACACACACACACACCTTCAGCCCTGTGCAGCTCCAGTGCCAGTTGTTCTCTTGCTCGGTTCTCACACACACACACACACACACACACACCTTCAGCCCTGTGCAGCTCCAGTGCCAGTTGTTCTCTCGCTCGGTTCTCCTCACACACACACACACACACACACACACACACACCTTCAGCCCTGTGCAGCTCCAGTGCCAGTTGTTCTCTCGCTCGGTTCTCCTCACACACACACACACACACACACACACACACACACACACACACACACACACACACACACCTTCAGCCCTGTGCAGCTCCAGTGCCAGTTGTTCTCTCGCTCGGTTCTCCTCACACACACACACACACACACACACACACACACACACCTTCAGCCCTGTGCAGCTCCAGTGCCAGTTGTTCTCTCGCTCGGTTCTCCTCACACACACACACACACACACACACACACACACACCTTCAGCCCTGTGCAGCTCCAGTGCCAGTTGTTCTCTCGCTCGGTTCTCCCCACACACACACACACACACACACACACACACACACACACACACACCTTCAGCCCTGTGCAGCTCCAGTGCCAGTTGTTCTCTCGCTCGGTTCTCCTCACACACACACACACACACACACACACCTTCAGCCCTGTGCAGCTCCAGTGCCAGTTGTTCTCTCGCTCGGTTCTCCTCACACACACACACACACACACACACACACACACACACACACACACACACACACCTTCAGCCCTGTGCAGCTCCAGTGCCAGTTGTTCTCTCGCTCGGTTCTCCACACACACACACACACACACACACACACACACACACACACCTTCAGCCCTGTGCAGCTCCAGTGCCAGTTGTTCTCTCGCTCGGTTCTCCTCACACACACACACA